AGCCACTGAAATAACTCTGAAAATCAGTGTTTAAAATCTCAAAAAAAATATAGTGTAAGGGTGGGAAACACAAAGGTAAAGGCCTTGAGAGCAAGATGTAAAGAAGGGTGAACCACCCCTCAACCTTTATTGGCCTTAAAATCCAAGTTTCAACCCAAAAATACAGAGTTTTGTCTGCCCAAAAACAGTTGGAAAATAGTAGGAAAAAGAGTAAATACAACAAGTAAAGAGGCAAAGCTTTATACCTCTTAAAGAAAAGATCACTTTCAAACAATAAAACAAGGCAAACACACCCTCAAGAGCTCAAACAAGGCTCAAAGATACCTCAACTCAAAGATGGAGAGGTTTTTTTAAGAGTGTATAGGAAAAAGGGAAGTGTGTATAGGCAAAGGTTAAGAAATTTGCAAGAGAGAGAGAGAGAGGTTGCAAGCTTGAAAATCTTAGGCTTGGGCCCAAAATAAAGGCAACAGGGGTGTAGGGTTTGAAAGGCTCAAAGTTGTGGCATTTCGCTGAGGACTTCGAGCACTTAATGAGCATATAGACTCATCATTGGGTGTGCAAGCGATGTCTTCCAAGTCGTAAGGGCGATAAAAAATGGGGTGTTTATAAGCCTAGAATAGCAACTAAGCGCCAGGTTCTGGCCGACTTTGTGGCCAAGTTCACTCCTGGTGCTATCCCTCATCGGACTCCAGTCAGCCACGGCTTGGGATGCCCAGGGGAGTAGGAAGAAACCCAACTGGGACCCAAGAACCCCACTCTAGCAAAACAGAAGAAAGAAGATAAACTAAAGCCCTGCGACATCTACATCGGCGACTCCTTCCGCCTATTTGTTGATGGAAGTTCAAACCGTCAAGGAGCGGGGGCAGGTATAGTGTTAGTATCACCAGATGGGTGAATGACAAAGCAGTATATTCATCTGGGATTCAAGGTCTCAAACAATGAAGTAGAGTATAAGGCACTAATTGCAAGGTTGAAGTTGGCAGCAGCAATGGAGGCCGATGAAGTAATAGTCTTATGTGACTCCCAACTTATTGTGAATCAGGCAACAAGCGAGTATGCAGCCTGAGATGAACGAATGATAGCATATGTTAAAGAGGTTGTCAGATTGCTTTCCTTGTTCCAAGATTGCCGACTACAGCAAGTTAGCCGAGATGACAACAGTCATGCCGATGCCTTGGCCAACCTGGCTGGTGTAATAAAGTCGGAGGAGCCAAGGACAATCACAACTTTGATACATCAACCAACAACAGATTTGAACCCAGTATCCAACCTTTGGCCATTTGCCCTAAGCAACTGGGCAAAGAAAGTTTCTGCTGGTAGCAACTAACTACTTCACGAAGTGGGTAGAGGCTGAACCCCTTGTGAAAATTTGAGATATTGATGTGAAGAACTTCATATGGAATAACATCATCACTAGGTTTAGGATCCCAAGGGCAATAATAGCAGATAATGGTACACAGTTTGACAGTAAGCTAATCAAAATCTTCTGCGCAAAGTACAAAATCAAAAACTACTACTCTACTCCAAGTTTCCCTCAAAATAATGGACAGGCAAAAGCATCCAACAAGACTATCTTGGATAGGATCAAGAAGAGGCTGGAAGCAGCAAAAGGAAAATGGGTAGAAGAGTTACCCAACGTGCTCTGGGCATATCAGACTACGCTAAGAAGATCAACTAGGGAGTCTCATTTTGCCATGGCTTATGGCACTGAAGCAGTTATCCCACTAAAAGTCAGCATCCCTAGAATCAGAACCCAGGGAGTAGAGAACAGGACTAACAAGGTATTCCTGGCCTGAGATCTGGACCTGTTGGAGGAGAGAAGGGATAGAGCAGCAATTCGGCTAGGGGCATACCAGCAGCAACTTGCTAGGGCTTACAACAAGAAGGTCAACCCAAGAGAGTTCAAAGTTAGGGACCTCGTCCTGAGGAAAGTTGTCAGCAACAATAAGGATCCTTGGGAGAGCAAGCTTGGCCCAAACTAGGAGGGGCCTTATAAAATCATTTCGGTTGCCGGCAATAAGGCATATCGGCTTAAAGACATTAATAACAAGAAGTTGCCAATACCATGGAACACTTACAATTTGAAATTTTTTTATCATTAGCTTTTTGTTTCTCGAAGTTTATGTCATAATTTTATTAGCCGAAGTAATAATAAAATGCTAGTTTGATTTTTATGAATTCAAAATTTGTGCGATAGTACTAACTAGTCCTATAACGATGTTTCTAAAGGAAACATGACGAATAACTTGGACTTATTACATGGCAGAGTTGAAGTATACTTGCATATAATAGAGTTGAACTATGTTGGCGATGTTTCTAAATGAAACATGACAAATAACGTAGACTTATTATATGGCAGAGTTGAATTATATTTGCATATAATAGAGTTGAACTAAGTTGGCGATGTTTCTAAATGAAACATGACAAATAACTTAGACTTATTATATGGCAGAGTTGAATTATACTTGCCTATAATAGAGTTAAACTAAGTTGGCGATGTTTCTGAATGAAACATGACGAATAACTTCAACTTATTATATGGCAGAGTTGAATTATACTTGCATATGATAGAATTGAACTAAGTTGAATTAACTTAGACTTGCCATATTTGCAAAGTTGAACTCAGACTTGCTTAATGTGTTGGCAGAATGGGACTAAGTTCGCTTTAGTTAGATTAACAGAGAAACCAAGGTCGAACACCTCGGCTAATCTTTGTTTGAATCTGAGTTCGGCAAAAGACCATAAACACATAATGTGAACTTAGGTGGAACTTAGGTTCATATTAGGGGGAAGGGAGCGCAGGAATGATAAATAAACTTGAGAGCTTGGCACTTGTTGAAATTTTAAAAAAAACATTACAAGTTAGAATGGGCTTGACACTTGTTGAAATTTTAGAACAATTTACAAGTTGAAGTTAGCTGAGGTAATGAGGAAAAAAGTATTCGAGGTACATATTACCCGAGATGACCAACCAAGTTGTTAAGCTTGGAAAGGTTGGAAGGGTGAAGTCTTGATAGAAGACAGCAAGTAGAGGTAAAGAAGCAATACTAGACTAAATAAGTTTAAGAAACAGCACTTGTAAAAATATTTCGAAGTGTTAGCCGAGGTATTCTAGTTGTTGGCCGAGACAAACAGTCAAGGTTTATATCTGAGGTACTCTACCCGAAGTGATTACACAATTAAAGTGTACTTGGAAGAAATCGCAATAATATTCTAAATGTGGAAACGTGCAAGAAATGGAAAGCACAAAATGAAGAGAACATTCAAAAAAAAAGAAGGCATGCATTCAAAGAGAACTTGTTCATTTACAAAGACAAAAGGGGCACATCGGTCAAATATAAAGCTAACATTGTTCAAACAAAAGATTACTACTGTTCAAAAGTAAAGTTCAAAGTAAAAGAAAAAAATCCTAAGTGCTGGAAATATGAGCATTGATCTCAGATTGCTCAACCTCGACTGTTGGCGTTGTGTCGACCTTAGTTGGCAATGTGGCTTCAATCTCCGCCGCTATCTCGGCGTCAATTTCTAGCAAGGTCTGGCCCAAGCTCTTCCCGGCTACCTGAACCTCGGCCTCAGAGGATGTCTTTTTGGAGAAGAGCCCTTGAGAACCTCCTCCTCCTCCTCATCCTGAGTCAGGTCCAGGACCTGATCATTTAGAATAAGGGACTTCACCCCAATAGCAACTTATGTTTCTTCCTCAGCCTCTTCCTCGGCATCCTCTTCCTCGACATCATCATTGGATTCCTTCGGAACCAGAAGGAAAGGCACTTGGAGCTAGTTGATATCCCGGAGTGGGAAGTCCATCAGGACAGACATCTTGTTGAGCGCTGTTGTCCAACACCAGGTAATAACCTCGGTTGCAAGCCAGGTTGACTTGCTCTTTGTACTAGTTACGGACGGCGGCTTGGCCTTCTTTGAATGCCTTCTCATCGGTCGCTTTGACATTGGCATCCTTTGAGTCAAGGGCCTCTTGGAGCTTGGCCTCTAACTCAGCTGCCTTGGCCTTGGCAGCCTCAAGATCGGCCTTGGCAGACATCAGTCTCAACAGTTTTTGCTTTCTCCTCGGCTTGATTTCGAGCAGCCCTAGAAGCCTTGGCTTGTTCCAACAGAGTTCGATTGTTAGCTTCGGCATGATTAAGTGAGGAGATGAGTTTGGCAACTTCTTGACTTTTCCTTGCCAACTCATTCCTTATCATCTCTGTCTTAATCGCATATGAATGTGCATGCTGGATGGCCTACAAGGATTGAAACAGATTAGTGAAATTTGACTAAGTGTTGAAAGACTTTAAAAAGGTAAAGAAAGAGACTTACCAAGACAGAGTGCTGCATCATTAGGCCGAAGTTCTTATACTCGTGGAGGTCGGCCATGTGATTCATGTTTTCTGGTAGGAGCACGGCCGTTGACAAGGCGACACCGACCTCGACATCATGGATCACGCTGTCGGCAGTTGTCGAAGGCCTATCCCCTACCATGACTTCGGGAGCCCAGGTCATGTTACGAGGAAAATTTTTGTTACCTTCGGGGCAGTTGGACCTCGGCTTTTTTGCCAGTGGGGCATCAGGTGTTGAGGCCTCGGTTGGCCTCTTGTCAGTAGCGGGTGTATTCTTTTCGATCTCAGCCTGTTTGGAGATCAGTACAGTATCCTCAGAATCAACCAGAGTCACTGTAGCCTTGGCCTTAGCCTTCTTGACTCTCTTAGGCTTTGATTTAGATTATAAGGGAGAAGATGAGGACTAGACAGTCACAACCCCAGGAATGTTGGTGAGAAGATCTTCAACGATGGCTGGTTTACGTCCCATCTCGTCGGTTGTCGCCATAATGGTAACCTTTGTGCCGAAATGTATTGCTGGCAGGGCAAGAAGAGGATTTACTAGATTGTACGCCTATGCCACAGAATCTCGAAGTTTGCGACTGCGAGTTCTGCCGGCAGGGGAGACAATAGGAGGTCAGCATCGGCACTGGCGCTGGGCTAGAGAAATCAACTATGGAGCAGATGTAGATGGCTGCTCTACTGGGTCAGAGGAAGCGACCTAGTCTAACCTTGGAGATGAAGCAGTTAGAGGAGTTGTGGCAGATGGAGAGGTCTTGCTCTATTTGGAAACGTCAGGCAGGGCTGGCTTGTAGGTCGAAATGTAGTTGAGTAGTAGTGGGGCCTTGTGTTTGTCAACTAGCAAGCCCAGTAGCCTTTTCAGGTCTTTGCTGGGAAATAAGGTTTGGCAAAAATCTTTTGATGGCTGGGGAAGAGCTACAAAAACAAAGAAGCAAACATTAATATCGACAGATAAGTTGACGAGTCTTAACTAAGGTAAAGTTATGGATGACTCAGTTCTTACCATCACCCTTCTTAAACACTCCTCGGCGCAGTGGAAAGAGACGAAGATCGTCATCTGGTGCAAACTCCTAGTTAATTGCCTGAGATGATCAAATAGTCATCTCTTGCACCCTTGTTTGAATCTGGGAGGTCAGCTATAAGTTTGAAGGCAATGGATCTGGGTTTGAGGTAATATATGTGGCCTTTGTTAGACTTAAGGCAGCACATAGTGTGGCAGAACTAGAGGTCGGCTAACATTACCCTAGCCTTTTCTTGACGTGCTAGGGCGATTATACCGTTAATAACCCTATAGGAGTTGATGGCTAATTCCATGGGGTTAAGTTTGTAGTAGTGGAGGATTTCTTGGAAAATAGTGTCTAAGGGGAGCCGAAGTCCACACTCAATAGAGGCGACTACAGGGAGGGCATAGAGTTCTCCTCTAGCATAATTGAGTCTTCCTCCCCAGCCAACCTTAGCTAGACGTCGGCTAGAATAGAAAACTCTCGCCTGAAGTGTTCTAGTTTTTCTAGGGTATCTACCCTCCACCTGAACATGCCCATGACCTCGGCTTAGGGTGTATTGTGATGGGTTTCAGAGAAAAGGCAGTGGTAGAGGTTTGAGAACCTCGGCTAAACTCTAAATAAGCACTGGGCCATGGATTTTGAAGACTTAAGGGGAAATCATTTCAGTTTTTCCTAAGTATGTGAGTTCTAAAGAAAATCCTAAACCTAGACCTACAGAAACAAGAGTCAAGGGCAAGAATCTGGAAACCAAGCAAGAAGACCAGAAAACAAATATGATTCGAAATCAAGAAGCATCAAAGGCAAACAAAATTCAAGAATCAAAACGAAGCAGAAATATAGAGAGAAGCGTCGATATGGCAAGAACAGTGCCAGACATTCAAAAACACAAATATAAGCAGTACAATGAAATGCAGTGATTTGAAACACAAAACAAAAAGAGAGCATGATCAATAAAGTAACGATGTGGCAGGCACAGTGGTAAAACAGAGATGATTCAAGAACATGGAAAATCACAAACACTGAGTGAGTGTTTGCAAAACGGCGAACTCAGAGAATTGATACAACAATACAAGCGACCAATATATGTAAACAGATTCAAAAAAAGCGAGAACTAATTTTCAATGTCCAAGTATGTCGAATGGAAGCAGAGAATAAATAGAGGATTTGAGCAGCAAAAAGGCATACGAATAAATTCATGAACAATGAAAAACTGACAGAAGAAATAAAGAAATCAAAGGACTTACCGATTGAAGCCGAAGAAGGAGACGCTGGAGTGAGATACGCCAGAGTTAGACGACTTGAACGATCAGAGTCGAATGATGAAAGGTGCGCCAGTAGTGATGGAAAAGGCAGTTTGCAGAGCTTGAAAGCTTGAAAAATGGCAGTTTGGAAAAGAAAATTTAGAGAGAGAAAAACAGAGCGTAAAGAGAAATCAATTTTGCAAAAGTGAAGAGGCAAAAAGAGAGAGTAAGAGTTTTGTCAAAAATACGAAAAGGCGGCAAAACATAATGAGACACCTTGGACGACATGCTTGTCAGGCGGCGTGTGCAGAAGCAACGCGACCTAGTAGCGCATGTCAAGTATGAACCAATAAGGAAGGGACGCGTGGAAGAAACAGTTAGGACGACTATGCGTGACAGTTCATGCGTAGTTAGAACCTTTGGGATTCTTGAAGTGACGAGGTCGTGATCTCGACCATTGAAGCAATCTCGGTTGAGATATGTGAACAGAAAACTTGGTTCTTGATCCTTGATAAAGGTAAATAGTTGAGTCCTGGGTACTTGAAACCGACGAGTCATGATCTCGGTTGAAAGGAAGAATGAATTTTAGCGACATAATATATGAACAAGCAATGTAGGTTCCATCACCTCAGGTTGCCAAGGTAATAGAACCTAGGGGGCAGTTGTGGGGACATATTTTGTGAATGACAACACGTGGCCAAGGCGACACCGAAGTGTCAGCCGAGGTCCCACGTGGCCTGGTCCTAATATCGAGGTGATCTCGGCTAGGACGAGGTTATCTGTGGAGATACCGGAATCTGAGATGAGCCGATAAGGGACAAGAGTCCTCGAACAGGGAAGGATCTCAGTCTGGATAAAGATAAAACTCTTAGGGAGTTTATTCCTATCTAGCTAATTGTCCAGGGTAAGTGTTGAGTCTGAGTCCACTGAAGTAAGGCTTCTAGAGGAATTAGGTCAGTGCTGGTTATAAAAACAGGGCACCCCCGTGGGTCTCAGGCATGTGTGATATACTATAAGCAGTAAGTTCTTTCTTGTGAGTTAAGCACAATTAGTTAACTTTAAAAGATATTTGATTACTGACTTGAGCATCGGAGTGCCCCCAGGTGAACGAACCACCGTCAAATTCTTATCTTTCTGTGACAGGTTGTTCAGGTTTAATCTATTTTTCCAGTGCTCTCCAGCTAAGTTCCCCATTTGGTTGTGTGGTCGAAAATCAACACCCACAATTTGGCGCCATCTGTGGGAACTTAGTATGGAATACATGACCAACATCTAGCAAGAAGGATAAAAAGGATCATCTTGATTATTGATTCTTGGTTCTTGGTTTTTGACGAGTGGACATTTGAGTCCTTGTTTCATAAAGTCGATAAGTCATGATATCAGTCGGAGAAATACATGTGTAGGTTCCATCACCTCAGGTTGTCGAGGTAATAGAACCTAGGGGGCAATTGTGGGAACATATTTTATAGCGATCCCGATATTTCCTCGCACGTTTATTGTATTCCTGACCCGGTTCTGTGGTTGATGGTTGTTGTCTGTGTTGTATTTCCATCATTTAACTCTTAGTAACTGAGTTTAGAATTGTTTTGGGCATGTTTCGAACAGGTAGGTTGAGTTTTGGTCTCAAGTGTTGTTGCTTAGGCTTTTGGTGATCCGCTCGAGCGGGTCCCTTTGTGTTCGAGCAGAGTTTGCACACTTTCAATATCTTGTGCATCTGCAAAGCTACTACAAATGTGTTTTTCACGCTTGAGCAGTTTCCTTACGCTCGAGCTGGTGGCGCTCGAGCGGGTGTCTTTGCGCTCGAGCGGGTGTTCAATGTCTGTAAAAGTTCTGGGAGGATGTAATCTATGCTCGAGCAGGTCTCCTTTTTGCGCTCGAGCGGGTGGTGTTTTGTTTTGTGCCTTGGCGCTCGAGCGGGTCCTTCTGCGCTTGAGCGGGTCAAGTTTTGTGTTTGACACTTGAGCATTCTATTCTCCGCTCAAGCGGGTCATACGTATATCAGATCTGGACTGTGATATTTTAAATCACTTTTTACACACTCTCTCTCTCTCCCTTGCTTTCAAAACCTCCATTGGAGAGCTCCTCTCTCTAAAAACACAACTTCTCTCCAGGGTTTGACCTAGTTTGAGTGATCCACCCCCTTAGTGTCTTTGTAAGAAGTGTAGAGCTTGGCTTGGGCTACCTATCAATCCGAAAATATTGGGGTTTGGAGCATTTCGAATTTCTTCATCTTCCTCCTTTGAGCTCCGAATTTGAGGTAGGGATAACTACTCATTTTTATGAACTTTAACCTAAATGTTGAGCTTTTTGTATTAATGGTTTGATTTGGGAAGTTAGGGTTTGAGATGTGTTATATTGGAAAGAAGGGTTTTGTTCTTTTGATTCAAACATGTGTTTTGGGTCTAATAAAGGAGGTTATTGATGTTGTTGATAATATTTGGACCTTTGGGTCAATATTGGAAAAATGAAGAAAATGCCATATTTGGGTTTTAGTGGGTCATTAGTGTAATTAATGACTTTCATTGTGAAATAGTGAAATTGGGAAGTTATGAGAAAGAATGGTGGAGTTGGACTTAATAATCACTCACCTTTGAGAATTATTGATAATTTATCTGTTAGTGCATTTATTATCTATTTAGAAATAACTGCTTTGGGCTATCGGTGGAGGTTTCTTGATTGTTGTAGACACTGCATGATGATTAGGTGAATTAAAACTAATCAATTTTAGTATGTCATTGAGTATGACGGTTGGAATAATACAACGAATTTGTGTATTGATTGGTCATTGTATATGATGAGTATTTGAATACATGGGTGCCGAATCCCGCGGATGAAATTTTCGTAAAATGGCAATCCGAATATAATTATACGTGGGTGCCGAATCCCGCGGATGAAATTTCCGTAAAATGGCAATTCGAAAATATCTATACATGGGTGCCGAGTCCCGCGGATGAAATTTCCATAAAATGGCCATAAGAAAATAATTACACATGGGTGCCAAATCCCGTGGACGCAATTTCCGTAAAATGGCAGTTTGGAGTATTGTTAACATGAGAAGTAGTCTCATCTAAGTCGCTAGCTTTATGAGTAGTGAGTGTGATGAGACCCAGACTGTATTGCCGAGAGTGGTTTGCGAGTATTCAGATGTTTTTCCCGAGGACCTTGTTAGTTTACCACCTCATCGAGAGATCGAGTTCTCCATTGACTTAGTGCCTAGTACGGCACCGATTTCCATGGCACCTTATCATTTTGCCCCAGTCGAGTTGAGTGAGTTGAAGATCCAACTCCAGGAGTTGCTAGATAAGGGCTTTATTCGCCCTAGTGTTTCACCGTGGGGAGCACCGGCCCTCTTTGCTAAAAAGAAAGATGGTGCCTTAAGGCTTTGTATCGATTATCAGAAATTGAATCGGGCTATGGTTAAGAACAAATACCCTATGCCTCGTATAGATGATCTGTTTGACCAGTTGAAAGGATCCCGTTGTTTCTTTAAGATAGACTTGAGATTTGGTTACCATCAGTTGAGGGTCAGGAAAGAGGATATTCCG